GCACAGTGTCCAGTACAGGGGCTGTGTGAGCAATAGGAGATAATATACACAAAGCATAGTTATGTGGCATATAATTGGTAAATAAATGCAATCATTGTTAGTGCTAATTTTTTAAGGATTTACGGGGAGTAGGTAATCTGAGCCCTTGTCCATTGTTCTTAACCCACCTTCCTTCTGTCTCAGAGTGGGTAAAGTCCAAATAAAAACAAAACAAAAACCGTTTTACACTAAGGTAACCAGTTTCAGTAACTCCGCTCAAGGCAGCCTTGTCGCGCCCCCAGCCCCAAGCCCAGTTTCTTTCTTGTAAAGTATGCATGGACCCCAAAATGGAACTACCAAAATGTTTTCTGAAAACCTTATCTGTCATGTAAGAGTCCTGACCACGCCGTGGATGGCTCATTGTGCTGCTAACCTTTGGTGACCAGACGTCCCACTTTTGGCAGGGCCATCCTGATTTTTAACAAATTTTCCTGGGTCCCGCGGTGTTTTAAAAAAGTCCAGATTTTTGGAAAGAATGTACGACAAGCTAGGGTATACGGTTTTATCAATGGTGTCCCGCTTTATCAATGTTAAAATCTGGTCACCTTACTTTACACGTAACATTAAGAGTAGCAACTGGGAAGCAATCACTCGGGGCCAGGCTCTTACCATTGGTAGGTGTCTGTCAGTCCCGATCTGTAAAAGGAAGATAGCAAGACTCTTTTAGGAAATAGCAATCTGATAAACATAAAAGCCCACTGCTGTTGAGTTGATTTCAACTCACAGTGACCTTATAAAACAGGGAAGAATTGCCCCATAGGGGTTCCAAGTCTGTGATCTCTACAGAAGCAGTCTGCCAGAGCGGCTGGTGGTGTCGAACCACCAACCTTTCAGGGCGCTTAAACGCTGTGCCGCTAGGGGTCCTTCAAGGTAAATATACTATCAAACATTTATTCTGGGTTGAGCGCTCATTATAAAGTTCAGTACAAAGATATACAACGTAGCTTGGCCCTGAAAATAAAAGGCAATGGAGTTGATAATCTGAAATTTTCTGATATTATGATACGTCAGCCAATAACCAGAACTATTACTGAGTGATACAAACAAGACATGCTGCAGGAGGAAAGTATGGGGTCCAGCGCCCAAAGAAAAGGGTTCATTTGAGATGAGCTATCACTAACAGTAACAAAAGCACCATTATTACCACTAATGGTCGGTGGGTGTGGGGGAGGGGGAGAGAAGCAGACAAGAGAAGAATAGAACTTTCCATTTAAAACATCAAAACAGCAATATAGAAAAAGAAAAAAAAAAACAGCAATATAGAATCTGTGGCTGCCTTCACAGTATGTTTGCCAATTAGTTCTTATCTAATTTGAGAAATGTTATAAGTATTCATGAAAACTTCAGTTCTTTATAAAATTTTTGGAGATTACAGATCTGAAGTGATCAAGACTTAGAAGGATTCAAATATGCAAAAATCTAGAGAGCATGAACAGAAGTCAAGAGACTAGAGAAATATACATTTCCCTTTCATTGGGAGAGAGAAATTTGGATATTCTCAGATAATAGGTAAATATTTAATCTGTTATGAGGAAAAGTTTCCTGAAGGAAGGAAACAAGCAAAGAAAACAGACCAATTAATCTTTCAACAGCTGAGCTACCTTGCCATGTGTGATTTTAATTGTCCTTAATAATAATATATTTTTAAAAATCAGCAAATCACCAGGCTCTTTCATTCTAAAGAGTCTGCCTTTCAATTTCAAATCCACAATTTTCCCAGGGCTTCTTTCTAACACTCCAGCAATCGTAAGAAGTTAGTAATCTAACTGATGAAAAGCATTTTTCCAGAACATTTATCCCCTTCCTTCTGGATCCTCACCAGTAGAGCAATTCACATGAGTTGGGTTACAAAATCTAGTTACTCACTGTGGAAGTTGGGATCTTGGAAAAACATCAGCTATGTAAGTGTTTCTTCACCATACGGATGGCTAGAGTAACAGGATACAGTCAGACTCTCGTGGCTTTCCCAGGTATCATCTGGGCAGAAGGACTGCCCCTTTAGACACGAGGAAACCTTTCACTTCATGTCATTTATTTTTTAAGTCTGGCATAGCAGAGAAGACCTCGTGGAAAACAGAGGTTTCTACCTTTGGTTGGCTGAGGAAGTCACCGTGGCTTGCTGGCCAACCGCGCATACACAGGAGTGGTAGTTCAATTAGAAACACGATTCTCTGTCTCATCTCCCAGACCTTCTCTCCATGCTTAGGAATTTATTTCCCAGACAGTGACTTGAACACAAGGCACTCCCAACAGCTCAAACAAGACCCCGAGGGACGAAAGAACCAAAGATGGGGAGCATGCTTATTCTACATGTTAGCTTAGGAGCCATTTCTACTAGCTTTCTCTCACATCTGTATGGTTTCCCAGCTTCTAAGTGCCTACAGAGGTACACCAAGCCTAACTGAGAGTAAATGTAACAAGAGCACAGGAGAGGGGGGAAAAAAACCCAAACAAACCAGGAGCCAGATATAAAAGGAAACCCCCCATCTCTTCCCCCCCCCCCTCTAGTTCTTTTTTCTTTAAATCATTTTATTAGGGGCTCATATAACTCTTATCACAATCCATATATAAAAGGTTTTTTTTATTATGTCACTGATAGGAAGATGATTGAGTTAAAGAGTACTGATTAAAACAAGGCTATGGATCCTGGGATGGTATGTACATCCAGCTCCAGAATATTAAGTGCATACTTGGCAGGCATTTGGCAATTCTCCACCATGACTTACCATGGTTACAGTTAGTGGTGTTTTGGAGAGTTAAGACAGACGGCACTTTGGTGAGAGATCAATGTGACAGGGGAGGTAGTATAAGCTGAGGTTAGCCAGTACTACAATGGGAATATCTCAATCTTGGAGTCAAAGGAAATGTTTTGTTGAATTAGCCTTAAGTTTAGAGAGCAAGGGGACAGGTTAGGTTTCCATTTTGTGATAAAATGGTTTGGTGAGGCACACCAAACCACCTGGCACCGACCCCTGTAGAAGCTGAGAGGGCTACTGAGCCCACCGCAATAGCTTTCGGTGCTTCTGCACTTCTCAGACACCGATGGTACAACATCACAAGCCGAAGGGTTCCGTGCACAGCCTGTTTTTCCCAGATTTTGCTTTGATAATGGGGGTGGGTGGGTGGTGATCTACTTTTTCTAATTAGATTTTCTAATTCATGTTATTGGTTGGATTCTTGCAAAACTGATTATAGAAGGTAGCCAGATTAAAAAAAGAAATTGTACAAAATTTGTGGAACTAGTTACAGATTTTATGTGCATGTTGTAGGTAGAAATGAGAAGTGAGTAAGTTCTTAAGCACCTGGGTGTCCACCCCCAACCCAGTAAGGCCTGCACACTAGGAGGGGGACGTCCAGCTACCTTTGAAACATAGGATTGCCACATAAAAGGTATGATTTTTAAATAATACACATCTATACTTGGAGATCTGAAGAATTTCAAAACTTCATTTGGTTAAAGAATGGTTTTGAAATGATTAAGAAGGCCAGGGAAAGTCTAAACTTAAACCAATAATTAAAATTTGTAATTAGCTTTTTGTTATGATTAGTTCTGACATATTATGACTATGATCTCAAACTGAGGTGAAGGGCATCAGCTTGCTCAATCAGCTTTCTCTACCTAACACAAGCCTCAGGACAAAGGAATGAAGTAGGAAGGAAATGAACATTTATTGTGTTGCTATTCCATGTACATATTTAAACTACACTGTTTCATTCCATGCTCAAAACAACCTTGTGCTACTATCACCACTTAATGGTCAAGAAAACCAACACTTGGAGAGATGAAGGAGCTTGCCTAAGGTCTTTACTGGTATGTATAACTGGCAGGGAAACTTAATTTTAACTTTTTATAATCTGAGGGATCTAGCACTTTCATGAGGAGAAAGGCCAGGATGTACTCGCTCCTCCCCCTGCTGAGGATAGCAAAAGGACTGATCATATTGCTGATATTATTACATTATGATCCAGGAGCGGGATTGCAGAAACATAACTAAATACTTTGTATCTAGTGATGCGCACTTGAGTAAAGTCTGCAGAAAGAAAGGAGTCCAACTTGGGGGCAGTTAATGGCTGACTGCGGTGGGTGATCTCCCTTAAGACAGCTCAGGTAGCTACTGGGTAGGAAGCCCTTAGGGGCCACTTACCCCAGCCCTTGATTTCACATGGAAAGTCACTGAAGCATGACAGGAATGAAGGTTTTCAATTCAGGGACACTTGGGGATCAAGGCCCAGCTCCACACCAACGCTAGGCTCTTGGTTCAGTCTGTAACATCAAGAGGCTTAATTTAAGCCAGAGGGGTAATATCAGCACAGTGTCCAGTACAGGGGCTGTGTGAGCAATAGGAGATAATATACACAAAGCATAGTTATGTGGCATATAATTGGTAAATAAATGCAATCATTGTTAGTGCTAATTTTTTAAGGATTTACGGGGAGTAGGTAATCTGAGCCCTTGTCCATTGTTCTTAACCCACCTTCCTTCTGTCTCAGAGTGGGTAAAGTCCAAATAAAAACAAAACAAAAACCGTTTTACACTAAGGTAACCAGTTTCAGTAACTCCGCTCAAGGCAGCCTTGTCGCGCCCCCAGCCCCAAGCCCAGTTTCTTTCTTGTAAAGTATGCATGGACCCCAAAATGGAACTACCAAAATGTTTTCTGAAAACCTTATCTGTCATGTAAGAGTCCTGACCACGCCGTGGATGGCTCATTGTGCTGCTAACCTTTGGTGACCAGACGTCCCACTTTTGGCAGGGCCATC